TGAACTTTTTGTTGATGCAGATATGGTCGATTTGGTTTTGTGTTGTGTGATCCGGTGAAGTCCATGTGATTTTGTGTATGCGTTTTTGTGGGAATATAACTTGAGGATGACATTGATCACCACCCAGTGATCAATCAATTGTGATTACATCTCAGTCCTACAGGAGGTTAGTCACGGCTCGGATAGCGCAGTGGTAACGTCTCTGACTGTGAAGCTGGGTGACACGAGATCGAATCCGCCAGGGAGCACCAGTTCCCTCAAGATTACAGGTACACCTTGCTGACGAGTGCCAAGTAGCACGAAACCCGGGTCCAGGGTTTCCTGTTGACTACCTCCAACCACCATCTAATCTCAATACATAGTGCCCGCAGTGTCGAGTCCCCTAGACTGGTGGCCACATTGCAACATGATCGATATCATTCGATTTGCACTAATAACGACTAGACAAGCATGACATTGATCACCACCTAGTGATCAATCAATTGTAACTTGAGGATTATTCACGTGTTTCGATCCGACATTTGTTATCAAAAATAAACATGGAATGCTAAATATCAAATTGTCTGTAAATAAATATGTTCTTGTACATATTCTGAAAAACTGGGTCGTTTGTTTTCAAAAAGTAAATTGTCATAGTGGCAATGAGTTTATAGAGTTTCAGTGCTCAGTCTGACAGTAAACTGTACTGGTTACTAGGTTTAAACCACAAAAGTGGTATATGTCATTAGTTTATCTTGCCTGTAAGAATGATATGCAGATAGTCTATCAACTAAAAAAAAATTAGTTGTACCAACAGTTGTAAAGAATGTTTTAAACCATGTTTGTATGACCTTACATCTCGTGACCAGCTTAATGAAGGCTGGATGGAAACTCTCCATTGATTAGTTAACAGGTCTGAATTGTACAAAGACACATATAAGATTTCGGGGACTTGTTTGTCTCATTTACTTGTAAACATTCAATTTTCATATAGCTAAGAATAAGAGCAAAGCATTTGCTATAATTATTCGTTCGGCAAAAATCGAGGAGTTCTCATGTGATTGTCTGAGTTGTTTTAAATAACCATTGATTTAAAAGGAGTAGAACCAGATAAAACGAAGAAATTGCATGCAGATAGCCATATGAATATTCGGAGCTATATAAGTTTATTTCAATAAACGTTATTTAGTTAACATGTCACATAATCATACCTCTGAGACAAAATTCAGTTTCACATAAACAAAAAGTAATAATTTAGCTATTTATTTTATATTCTTTTGTAGCGAAATGTTTTCGTCTAATTTTATTCTATTTCTATTTTTAGTAGTCTAGTGATTCACTAGGTGTTTACAGCGACTGCTTACTGATTGATAACCAATGTTATGTTACTTTAGTCTTTATGATCGATCGAATTCCAAAACAATGTAGCTCACTAATCTAATAGACTTCATTATTTGGATTATGTTTACGTGTTAGGTAGCTAGTAGCAAACGGCATGAAGCGCTTGACCTAGTTTCCGTGTTGGTTGTTACTCGTAGCTGAGCCCTATCCATAATCATCATGGAGCTGGTATTAGTCACCAGATTTAAACCTGTCACTCACAGGGAGTATCAACTCTTCATAATACCAATAACTATATAAATCAAAACGATGTGTGAATGAAGATATAACAAAAATTTCTTTTAAACAATCTTGTTTCCTTTGATATATATCTATTGCTTTATAACTGAAGGGAATTAGATTTATCAAAAGAAAAATTACCTACCCATGAAGCCGAATCGCCTCTAAATTCTACATTCAGACAAATAGTTTTTTGAATTGCGAAACATCCTTCAGGTTATTGGCTAGGTCTTAATTTTGTAACGATAAATTTAGATGGATAGCCATTTCTGGTAAGTATTTATCGAGGTTGAAGTAATTCGTGATTTATTGTGTCATGAGAACATACTGATCTAGTCCTCATGGCGTGAATTAGGTTTCTCATTCTCTACAATGGGACCGAACTATGAAATATCGTGTACTAATTTCGTCGAATAGAAGATTTTCTCTGTTAAATTCTCTTCACTTTGCTTTAATTAATTGAATTCATTTCATTCTGCATTAACTCAGTTAATCAAATAAGCTTTCTTAACTGATAATTTCCATTTTTGTCAGTTTGATACTAATTTAAGGAAACAATGAGAGGTTTTTACATCAATAATAATAATAATAATAATAATAATAATAATAATAAAACGTTCAGGTATTAGAAGATTCGTAGCTCATTTCATTGCCTACAATTTATTTATTTTGCCTAATTTATTTAAAAATTATATTTATACAGTGGGTTACTAAAAATAGTAACTTACTGAAAATGTTTATCTGGGAGTTCAACTACGAAAAATTCATCCATTGATTAATACTAAGTAAATTACTTTTATTATCCTACCTTTTATTGGTGACTTTAGTTATCCCTTTTTGAAAATAAACTTTGAAATTTTCATTTCACAACAATGTGTCACTCTGGTGAATATATATTCAAGTTTTTATGAATAAATTAATGTGATTATATCAATCTTATTGGACAAATATATACAGAATATGCTATGATTGCCGGCAGATCAAACTATAAAATGATATTACCTGACAGAATCATTTATATTTGGGTGAACACCGAAAACTTCCTGACTGAAGCCTATCAAACAACTGAAATAGCATATTGTTCTAGACTGTCTGTTCCGTGACTTACTCTCTCTCTCTCTCTCTCTCAGTATTGATGTTGGTTATTATTGTTAGTACCGATAGTTTGACTAAAGGCTTTATTATCCAAATAATTTCCTTTTATTTTGATTAGTGTAAAAGGATACAATTCGCCGCGCTGCATAGTTATCCTTGGTAGGCTTTATTGTGATGGACTGTGGTTCCAGATTTGACGATGTCTATAATAATTCCTGATTTTCATAAGTCATTCCGTTGATCACATTTCTTAGGTGAAGTTTTCTTGAAGCTTTTTATGCAAAAATTGTTTTCAGAGGGGGTTTGTTGAGATTTTAGATATTTCACAGATTAAAATCATGAGTCAATTGAAGCTAGACCACCATGGAAAACCTGGAAGCACTGGACAGCCGTTTCGTCCTAGTATGGGACACCTGAGCAGTGCACATCCACGATCCCACTGAAGACAATGGTGTATAGTGGCGCAACTTCGTGGAGTGGTTGAAGTTAGAGAGTAACATCATTGGATGCCAGCGCAGTGGCCTAGATTGTTAAGCGCCTGGCCCGAGAATGGTAGGTCCTGGGTCCGAATCTTGCGGGGTGCGGGGTTGTGGATGAGTACTGCTCAGGAGTCCCATACTAAGACGGAACGGCTGTTCAGTGCTTTCAGGTTTTCCACGGTGGTCTAGCTTCAAATGACTCATGGTTTCAATCTGTAAAAATTATTTGTCATACTTTACTTATTTCACATATACCAAATATTGTCGGATTCAGGTTGTGTTGCTGTTCTGTCGTCCGATACATCTTATCATTATCGTTTAGATTATTAGGTTTACCGCAACAGTTTTAAATGAAGGTAGGTTGTGTATATGTGTATATATAAAAAGATACAAAAATAGGGTCACATATGTTCCTACTATGAAATGAGCAACTTATTGTGAAGAATAAACAGCTAACTAAACTGTTACAAAAGTAACTGAGCAAAAAATACCAGTCAGGTCGTTTGAAAAGTTTATAAGCTTTGAACGAGGGTTTTATTTCGCACAAATTTTCTATAACTTTCCTTGAATGATAAAAAACTTTATTAATGAAATCATTTAAATATTTTTTTGTTTAATTCTTTTTTAACTTCTTATGAGTGAATTCTTTTGTTGAGCTGTTTCAACTATGACTGTTAATTTACATAGCTGAAGATACGAAGTGTATGTTACTTATGTCGACATAAGCAGTACATCAGTCGCCAGCCTGGCAACAGAAGGTTGAGAAAATCGAATCAAAAAAGGCAAAAGCAGAGAGTAAATGTTGTGGCAATGAAGGAACAACGAAGTTTGAGACTATTGATGGAATATATGCAAATGAAGTATTTTATGTATGGTTCTTATATTTTACCAAGATACTCTGTAATTTTGTAATAAAATGGAATTGGTTGTCTCAACCTATGTTCTCGTTCATTACAGATGTGTTGGCTTAGTACCAGTTATTTGAACCCACTACTGTACTTCCACTGTTATTATAAATGATGAAATTCAGATAATTTTAAACTCCATTTAGTATTAATATTAGTAGTAGTATTAGTATTAGTAGTGTGGTGTGTGCTGCTTATATTGATATAAGTAGTATATGACGCGAGTTAAAGAACGTAATGTCTGGCAGCAGAAGATGGGAGAGTGACAACACAATGCAATTTGTAAGAAAACGCATGAACAATGAAGCGTAAGACAATGGATTGATGTTTGCAACAGGAACAATCCAGGTTGATATGATGGATTGATATTTTGCAAACTAACGACTTACTATAGTGTTTTTCTATTTTACCAAGTAACTCTGTAATTTTGTTCTAAATACATTCGACTGTCCCCACCCGTGTTCTGTTCACTACGGTAGTAGTAGTAGTAGTAGTAATATTATCTCGATTAACCCAATAAAACATCTCAACTATCAATGGATTATGTTTGTATGATTTATTTGTTTTAAATCATTATGTTGACTATAAACATGACAACCAATTTTCCAATCAATTTCTTTCAAATTAACATGAAATTTTATTTCTTGATTGAATTCGTTCTGGATATTCTATATTATTTACAAGTTGATCATATCAGATACTTGGATTAAAATGTCAAATGTTCAGAATATATATATATAACATCCACAAATATGATTGTACCCTGTGCATTTTTTTGTGTGACATTATTTCCATGCATGTAAGTTAAATTCTATGTCATTAAATTTGGTTAATAGCTTTAACCAATCAGAATGCTATGAAAATCGATCGTGTTTTAGTTAACCAATAATTTTAAAAAATGAAACATGATTTGTTAGCACAATGGAAAGTTATTTGTGGTAACCTGAAATGATTTATGAAATATCTTTTTCTCTACAAAAAAAGCACAATTTCCAGCTTGTTTCTATGATTCAGATATTGAAGTAGGATTATGTTTACAATAAATCGTTATTGGCTTAATGTACTATATATTTGATATTAGAATTACTTCTCTAAATGTCAAGTTCGAAAGTTATTGTTATAGAGAGACCTGAAAAATCAGAAAACTTTAGCCATGATGAAATCAGCAATACATGTGGCATGATAAAAGCAGAAATCCTACTTTCTAGATTACGTAAAGCCAAAGAATTATCCTCTGATTCCCATCTAATCATTGTTGATATGAGAGAGACGAGGCTTTACCAATCTGGTCATATACTTACGGCTCGTTCAGCAAACTGTTACACAAAAACTATGGCTAAACGAGCTATCCAGTCATGGGATATTTGGTATACAGAAACACATGGATGCCCTGCACCATATACAGAATCTCCAGTGTCATTTATTTCACAAATATCACTGGTTAAACCTGCCATTGTGGTTTATGATCAACGTAGTGATTTTGTATCCACTTCAACACTTAAAGATAAAAAAGTTCGAGCTGAATTGCATTTTATTTCTGCTCTACTAGCTCGAGGAAATCGAGTTTACATGATTGATGGTAAGTCATCGCTAATTGCCTAATAGGTTTACTTTTTATCAATTTGTTTATGAATATGAATGTTAAAACTTAGGATTTTGAAACATTATTAAGAATTTATTACATGTAATGGTAGTGCCAGACTTCAATAAAAATTAGAAATTTAATTTTGTTAGAAAAATATTTTCAAACAACAAGGTACAGGGTAAAATCATCGTTATGTCATCATATTTATTCGTATTTTATGGAAAATTATAAATTTCATGTGTTTTATAAAGCATGAATAATTAATTCACGTTCATTAGTAACAAGGTTCAAAACTGATTACCAAAGTTCTAAGGAGCAGCGACCAGTGGAGTTTTGTTATGTGATCATTGATGGAACTGAAAGATCATCGTGGTTTTCAATGAATTGTTTGAGTTGATCAATAGTTCCAACATAATAACTACATGACATCTCGTTAATTTCTTTCTTGTATGGGTCTAGTTAAACAGCAATTGTATCTGTGGTTTATAATTCATTACAGTCTCAAATAAAATTCCTTTCAGCACAGAATATTGGAATGAGATCGGCTGGCAGGATTTAATTCTGTTTCAGTAGTGAACGAAACCAGGTAGCATAACGAAGTTATGTCCATTTAGTGAATCTAAGGTCTTTTCACTGGTAATAAGTGGGAAATCACGTTTGTTTTACAGAGAAAAGTTTAAAAATTAGACTTTGGAACTCAATAATCTATTGTTGTTCAACTGTTTAGTTACATGATCCATCCCCTAAAAACAAGACAAAAAGTAATAATACTATCTTTCCAGTAGATATCTTCAAATATTATCTACATCATCGATAGCTATCCTGACAGCAATATTAGGTTGTGAAATTATATTTTACAAGGGAAAGAGTAGATAATTCAGTTTTTAATGTAATGAACTAGAATGAGTATGGATGATTGAAAAAAGATCCCAGTAGTTTACAGTCACAACTTACCTCTTGAGATTGACTTTGATTGGAAAAGATCAAAATATCAAATCATTGTTATTCACAGCAAAAAATTCGACAAACCAATCTGAAACTATTCATCTTTAATTCAGGTGGTATCAAATGTCTATGTTCTTTACAGTTACTAATTATTATTGAATATTTTAAGTCAACAGTAGACGTAAGACTTCATCATATCGTTTACACCCTAAATAACTTAACATTGCTGTTTATTCAGAACTAATTCTTTATATTGATTTCACTCCCCAATTAGCAAATAAATTGTGTTGCTATGCTTATGTAATACAGTTAATTTAGTAATAATTAACTTATCAAATTATAATAGATTTTAGTAAAATTACTGAAGCAGCTTTGTTAGAAGTGTAATACAACACCATAAATACAAATCGACAAATGAGATTTTGATGATGCAATTTCAGTCGTTTGATAAGAAGCGTTATTTGGTATTTACTACTAAAATTAGTAACAAAAAGGATAAAACTTCTTAAATTATTTTATTTAAAAAATTAGATGAAGTGTATTATTATTACTATTATTGTTAATTGTCTTTACTGAAAACAATTATAAGCCTTAAGGCCTGTTTTATAGTTTATATAGTGATTTTATTGAAATATCTCTAGTATCAATTGGTTGATTTGATAGATGATAGAATTACTTATAACAATGTATATTTGTTGCCCCGGTCGGACTATAATTCATTTCAACATGGAACAATGAAGTAGGAAGCACAATTTAAAGAACAGTAGAAACTCCACCTCTAATATGATAATTAAGTTTTCATGTATTCTAGGAGGAAAAATCACGAGGTGATCATCAAAGTAATCCGAATAATTAATACATCAGATGAAAGTAATTAAATTAAAGGAAACTCGACGGATTTCACTAATTTGTCTATTCACTAGGTTATACTTCTTTAGTTTCAGTCTCGATTACCTGAGGCTGAAAATAAAATCCCATTAGGGGTATACCGATTGTACGAAATATTAAATAATAAAGCTCGAAAATTTAGGGGTTCTAAAGGTACGATTTCCAAGAAACTGGCAAAATCTATCCAAAAGGCTTTAGATCACTAATTAAATGATGAAGAATCAATTTAAGTTACCAAAGTTTGAATGGTATCTAAGTTTATTTAGAAAACCACGAACAGAGTTCCAAGCAAAATATTTATCTGGAAATAAATCTGGAAACTAAACTACCAACAGTACCTAAAGAGCCTTTGTTCCCGAAATTATGATTAAAGAGTGGTATAGTCTACGTATAAGAAAAACTGTAGACCGTACATTCAATGTGAAAAAGATTTTACTCTTATCTCTTAATCTAACCAATAGTGAGCACACTAAATAAAGATAAATTTCCTACTTTTACTACCGTCATTTGTACTTACTATTTTAACTGTTTTTACGAAGTCAGTTATACTAGGTGTATAGTCGGATAAATATATCATCTTATTTGTGAGCATCACGTTCTATGATTGGTGAAAAGAGAAGAGAAAGCAATAGAAAGCTCTAATTTTGTGTATCTATTTGACACCAGTCAAGCTTTCAGGATTACCTATAGAATACCATCAAGCTTACCCTGTGCTTCCATAATCAGCCTCTTAATTATAACAGAAGCCATCAGAATGCATACCAATAAACTTAGCCTTTGTATACGGAAAACATTTGTACAGCCTCTTAATATACCGTGATGTTTTACTAAGTTATTGATAAGTTTCTCAAACTTCTTTCCAAATCCTACAAACTTTTAAATTTTGCTAAATTCTAGCTTACAATTTTAATGTTACGTAATGTGTTTTAATACTATGGTTATCTAGTTTTGATTGCTTTAGAATTACTAATTACTTATTATTAATCTCACAGATAACAAATTAGCTACATTTATATCCGATTTCAATTCCTTAACTCATTGTTACGTAACTGACTTTGATAATCAGTTACTTATGGAACTTAAGCTTAGTTCTAGTTTTAATTTTACATACATTTTACTAAGTGATTACTAAGGATTAACATGTGCTCACTAGTGACTAGCTTCGTGAGGGAATTCTCGGAGTTCTAGTGAGAAGCCGTGATCAGTGGAGCTAATCCTTGTCGGGTAGAGACAGGTATCTACCTCAGTACAATGGAAGTTGGTCGCGCAATTTCGTGGATTGGTTGATGTTAGAAACTATCACCAGTGGATGCCGGCTCAGTGGTCCAGTTGGTTAAGCGTTCGCGCGCGAGACCGAAGGCCCTGGGTTCGAATCCCGCTCGCGGGATCGTGGATGCGCACTGCTGAGGAGTCCCACAATAGGACGAAACGGCCGTCCAGTGCTTCCAGTTTTTGAATTGTGATGGTCTAACATTAATCGGTTCATGATCTCAATCAAAAACTTAATAATCTCCACAACCCCTATACTAGTGATTACTATATTGTTTTTCTGTTATTTCCGTATTCATATTTTAAATGAAAATATTATCAATCTCCTAAAATTTCTGACATAACGGTAAAGGAACTTAGATAATAAATTCCCTTGATCTCTCTACCTGAATTATGAAAAAGTCATTCCAATCGTTGTAAAATCTCATTGAAAAATTTCATCGTAACATTAATAAAAATTTAAAAATCTTTTGCGAAACAATAATTCAGTATTAGCATCAGAAGGGGTTTTGTAGAGATTGTAGTCATTTTAATGGTTGAGGTCATGAGTCAATTTCATGGTGGTCTAGCTTCAATTGACAAAACCCCCTTCTGACACAAATCAACATATGCTCACTAGTGACTGGCTTCAAGGGGTATAAACTGGAGCTCAAGTGAGAAGTAGTGACCAGTGGAGTTCAACTGAGTCTGTTGTGAGGCAGTAACTCACTAAGACAATGATGGACGTGTCTCCTGATTTCGTGGATTAGTTGAAGTTAGAAATTAACACCGTTGGATGCCGGCCGGCTCAGTGGTCTAGAGGTTAAGCGCTCGCGCGCAAGACTGATAGGTCGTGGGTTCAAATCCTGCTAGGCGGGATCGTGGATACGCAATGATGAAGAGTTCCGCAATAGGACTAAACGGCCGCTCATTGTTTCCAGGTTTTCCATGGTTGTCTAGCTTCAAGTGACTCATGATGCCAACTATTGAAATACAGTATTAAATAATTAACAATTTAGCTTATTTACTAGAAATAAGTTTTACTAATAAAACTAAATGAATGATTGTTCTTTTGGGCAAAAGAACCAATGACGACACTCACTCTACTCATCAGAAACGAAACTTAATTTACGTGACTATTAAAAAATTCTAGACATTTTAAAACTATTTCTGTAGAGTATTAAAATGAAAATATTTCTACAATATATTTTGAACAACCAACTCCACCTGTAGCTCTTCTAGGGCTACTACCGGTCTCAAGCACACGAAAAGCAGGAGGGTTCGGTATGGTATCAACAACCACAACTAGTCGAAAAAAATCACGTTAAAAAAGCTAACTAGAATGAACAAATCAAACCATTTAAAATCTGTCCTCCGGGTTGAACAATCCTTCAGAAGTATTATGACCCGTCATGGTGAAAGTCAACACACTTCGAAAGTGACGAGGTCGGTTCCCCTTCTAACAACCAGAGAAACAATCAATATAGGTACACGGAATGTCCAGACAATGAGAGAGACCGGAAGGACTAATCGAATAGCTATGGGAATTAAGAGCTACAACTTGACGGTGCTCGGTATCGTTGAAACCCATTGTACTCAAGCTCGACAGAGAAAGATATATTCAGAAGAGATGCCGTTGTACTCCGGTCACGAAGAAACAGCTGCTCCACACACTCGAGTAGTTGCTCTGATGTTGTCCAAAGAAGTATCTAATGCACTTATACGATGGGAATCCGACTGATCCAGGATAATCAAATCGTCGTTCAAAACGAAGAATGAGGGAATCACAATCAATGTTATCCAATGTTATGCACCCACTATTGATAGGAACGAAGACTATAAAGACCAGTTTTATGAGAGGCTGCAAATGATCATAGTGAAGTGATCAGGAAAGCACCTAATCATTCTAATGG